GTCTAAGGATGACAAGGTTGATTTGAATGTTAAGTTTTCTTGATGTTCTGATTTATTACTTTAGCCATATCCTTTAAGAAAGATTAAGCAGGGTCTTACATAATTGTGTCAGATCTCCTGCTATACTGTGTTTTACAATGCTGTATTTTCAGTTATACCTGGCTGTCTGAAACTGTCAGAATTCAGATATGCTACTGTAGTTGCTCAGCTTGCATCTTTAGATTTTAGGACTGAACAATTAAGTCTATTCTTTTATTTGCAGTTGGTTTTTTTGCTTTTATTGTTATTGTTACTGGGAACTTGATTTGTTGTGTGCTCTGTTTTCTGGGTCGGATTCTGTATGAAATTCCACTCTCCCAAATGAGTATGTCTTTGTAAATGTAAACTGTGTAGAATATGGTTCGCCAAAATGCTTATTTACTTTGTTATCAATCCTTGCAGTGCTTTGAAATGTTTACTGCCGTAATCGTTTGAAACAGTTCTCAATGGAAGAAGGTTTGGCATTTCAAACTGATGTCATTGATGCTCTGAGACTGGTCATGTGAAGCAGAATGACACTTGAAGATTTCTTTACCTTGACTGAGATGAGAGATGGGCTCACAGCCCCTTCTCGAGTGCAGGAGTTGGTCTCTGTAATGCAGGAGGAGAGAGATTGTGTTGTTAAGAATGTTGGTGATGCAATGAGGCAGTGGGCTGCTGTTGCCAGCACTATTGCTGCTACAGATAATAAAGATTGTCTTGATCTTTTTATTCAATCAGATGGGCTTTGGTTCATTAATAGGTGGTTACAGGATGCTCAAAATGTTGGTGACACAAACGAGAGCTTCATTGAAGAGTCAATTAATGCACTGCTACGAGCAGTTGAAAAGTTGCATCTAGACTGTGAGAAGTCAATGTCATCAGGGATTTGGGATACTGTAAAAAATCTTCTTGGCCACCGTAGCTCTAGGGTTCAGGAGGTAGCAAAAGTATTATTTGACAGCTGGAAGGTGGGTGGCAATGGAGAAGATGATTCTCATGATATGAAGCTTGTTAGAGTTGATAATGAGGGTGACAAGATTGTTAGGGAGGAAGTCCTGCTGTCTGCTCAGAATGAAGCCAATAATGAAAATAATTGTACATCAGGACTTGTTGCTGATGCGAAATCTCCATTGAGAAGCACAAGCACTCTACAACCAGAAAGGAATGCTAGTGTACAGATGCAGAGTTCTAGCAGTCAGCTCCATTCCTCTGGAAGTTTGGATGGTGAAAACATCAAGGAGAGATCACCAGACTGTCTTGCTACTGTTTCGACTTCAAAGGAAGAAACTGCTCCGACAAAGGAAGAATCACCTTCATGCACTGTAAGTGAGACCCTTTCAGTTGGGTCCCATAGCTTTCCTCATCCAAAGCAAGGTAATTTTGAGGGAAAATCAGATGTGAAGAATTTAAATGATTCATGCAAAATGGAGAAGCAGGAACAAATTGCCAATGGTCCTCTAGAAAAACCAGGAGTAGCAGAGGTTTCCTTGGGGTCAACAAAACCAGAGCCCGGACCTAATCATACGGATGCTAGTGAAGCAAAAGCACCAGAATTTTCAAATGAACCTGTTTTACCTCATAATGTTGGAAAGAATGATGATATAGTCTGTCATAATGCCACTGCTGCAGGTAGCTTGAAGATGCATGCATCAGATAGAAAGAGTGTGGTTGATGATACTAAGGCCCTAAAGTCTAGTAGTCCACAACTTCCCAAGACTGCAGAAAATAATGATGGCTGTAGTACTAACGTATTGCACGAATCATCTGTCAGTGCTGCTAACTTGGGAAAGCCTGAGGTATTTGATATTTCTTTCTCCAGAACAGAATGTGCCAGTGTTGTAAAGGAAGATTCAGGGCATGTTAGTAATGAAGGCAAGGAAACTTCAAATGGTTCTGAACCTATTAAACCACGAAAACACCGTAAAAGCCCTAATATGATTGACAGGAAGAGTTCTGATATTGAACTTGATTATGGCATTGTTGATGCTTTGGAAGTTGCTCGACAAGTTGCTCAAGAAGTTGAAAGAGAGGTCTGCAGCTCTTCTGAGAAAATCTCAGAGGGAGGAACAGGGCAACCACATAGTCCAGATTCTGTAGGAAAAGAGGATACACCTGCTTGTGTTGAACCTAGGGAGGTCCCATCCAGACAAAGTTACTCTGCTGAGGTAGGTCCTAAGGAGGAGAGGCATGCTAATATTTCAGATGATGTTGAGGCTGAGACAGCATGCATTCCTGATGTAGAGTCCTCACATGTGTCTGAAGCAGCTTTAGATCCTGGAGGCAATTCAGAGAAAAATCTTTGTTTTGATCTCAATGAAGAATTTGGTTCTGATGATGTGGATAATCCCACAAATTTAATGTCTACACTGATATCCTTTGTATCCGCTTCAAAGCCTGCAGCAACCCCTGGGTTGCCTATGGCCCCTTTGCAGTTTGAGGGGACGCTTGGAAGGATAGGATCTGCTGCAACCAGTGCATTTCGTCCTGCATCACCTCGTAAAAACTCTGACAGTGAGAAGAATACTTCCATTAGTGGGAACTCTGATATTTCCAAGCAAAGGCAGGATTTCCTTGATATTGATCTGAATGTGGCTGAGAGTGAAGATGGATTGGGAAAACAAATTGCTGAATCGTCTGGGCTTCCTTCTGGTCAATCTTCAGCAGAACTTAGTCCTGTGAGATCTAGGAGGCTTGAATTGGATTTGAACAGCGTTGGTGATGATGTTGATGCCCAACCTTCAGATCAGAGGATGGAGGGACAGCTCTTATGTAGCAGAAATGGCCATTGGAGCCCGTCACCTGCATCATCAACATCATCAATGCAGCCTTCCGTTCGAAACATTGATTTGAATGACAGGCCATACCTTCAGACTGATTTGGTTGACCAAGGGCCCAGTAGTAAGTCTTCTCACATTACAAATGCATGCGGGTTTCCTAAAGTGGATGCACCTGTGATCTCTCTCTTGGGTACCAAAGTAGAAGTTGGTAGGAGAGAAACTAGACCTTCTCCAAATGGCAAAGCTACGGAGTCAGCAATGGATCTAACAATGTCAAGGGATGGTGTTTTAGGCACGGGTCCCACTGTATCTTACAGCCACTCACCTACATTTGCATATAATGGGCTAACAACAGTGTCTCCTTTGTCTTTTTCATCTGCAATGTATGGTTCAGGCGGCACAGTTCCATACATGGTGGACTCCAGAGGAGCCCCAGTTGTACCTCAGGTGGTGGGATCTTCCCCAGCTATCCTGTCATCTTACTCCCAGCCTCCATTCATGGTGAACCTGACTGGCGCACAACTTGGTTTAAATGGGGTTGGGCCTTCACGTCCTAACTTCGACCTGAACACTGGCTTCATGATTGAGGGAGGAAATAGAGAAGCGTTGGCTGCGAGACAATTTTTCTTTCCTGGTCAGAACAGGGCTATAGAAGAGCAAGTAAGGAACATTCACCAGCCCTCAAGTTCTGGGGCTGGCGGGAAAAGAAAGGAACCAGACAGTGGGTGGGAAGCGTACCCATTCAGCTACAAACACCCACAACCTCCATGGAAGTAGCCTCTAATTTATCTGATATGTTTATAAGCATGCCCTATCAATTGATGCTTATATAACTTAAATCTCGAGTAGGGTCGTCTCTTGGCATCCTTCTCCAGGAGAAGAACCGTAACTCAATAATAGCTGGAGGAAGGTGGATGTAATATGACTCGTGAGATTGATTGTCAAAGGGAAAGTTAGGATTTTTTTTTTGTTTTACTTTTTAACTTTTTTCGGCCCCCATTGTTTTATCTTTCCTGCAGTTTCATCATAGAAGGGTCAGTGCAAGAACAGTAGGCTTGGTACATGTCGCTGTAATTTCTCCTTCATATGTCAAAAGAATATGTAGGTAAAAAAAGTATTCCCTTTTCCTATTCTCAAGCGGTGCTTCAGTGCATGACCACAGCTGTAGGTGATTAAATAATAGTGAGAGTTGTTCTAAAGTAATCTGTAAAAAGAGAGAACGGAACAAGAACCCTGAGAAACTTCCTTGACCAAATTTCTCTGATTGCTTACCATGCCCCTTGCTTTCATTGTTTGGCTTCAAACCGCATCTATAGAAATTTCTTGGGAGTGCGATATTCTTTTTGCGAATGGAGCACTCAAGCTTCAAGATCATTCTTGTTCTGAACGTGTCGCTTTAGATTTTACTTTCTTGCATACCAATGGGCTTCTTTTCCCTTTGCTTATCTTGGATTCGTGGACCCAAATATTGACGGCATGACCACACACAGATTTTTTTTAATTTTCAAATATTTTTTGTGTGCATTGATCAAGTTGGCTGGAGATAGAAGATAACAACGTTGAGCGGTTCATATAATTAAATTTTACTTCATAGAACAAGGTTTGTTGGTATTATTATTTGATTTAATTATATATAACTAGTTGTCACCATAATTAGAGAGAGAGAGAGAGACACCATGTGCGTATTTTTAAGGGAGTGTTACATTTAAGAATTTTGAAAGATAATTATTCACAAATAAGGACTAATGGAAAATAAATTATTATTAAAATAAAAAGTTGACTTTTTTTAAATAAAATTTATTATTGATTTTTATATGTGAATAATTATTTTCAGAAGTTTTTAGACGTGATTCTCTCAATTTTTAATCTGTTAACCAGGAGAGGGATGATATCTCAAGGGTGAGCTCCTTGAAGCCATGTATCCGAACCCGAATCTGGTCAAGTATTTCAACGGTGGGGATAGTGCAGTGAAGTTTTCACGCGCGATTTCTAGTCGCAAGATACTACATACGAATACACTGAATTGATTCTTTTTCATGTACAAGTTAATTATAGAGGCAAGACAAGTGTGAAGCACACTGAATAACTTCAAACTGTAGCTCAGTCGAAATTAACTGTCAACGGAAGTAGAGATAAGTTTTAAAAGGAATACGTGGTAAGAAATTAAAGAACATATTACTGATAGTTAAACTTAATTAGAACTCAAAAGGCGAATCGATCCATCTAAACACATCATCATATGACACTGTTGACATCATTAGTCACAAAGCAGGTGACTAGAACAAAGCCTTAAATATACAGTTTGTGTAGTGTCAAACGTAACAAAGCCAGGATGCTCTTGTGTAATAATGTCGGTGTAGTTGCAATAATGGAAAAAAAGAAGAGAAGTCTATTTGGAATAATATGGATCGATCTAGAGTTATAAGGCAGTACCAGAGATGCCTCTGCATCAGACTCTCATTAATTGGATGCATTCAGTTAAGTAGATTGGAGAGGCATATAGAGAATCATTGTTCGTTGAGCAGCCACGTCCTTCACACATAAATAATAATGTTGTGAGGTTATTAATGTACTATTCAATTCACATTTCTGAGTTAATGTCCTTAAAACAGTCATTGTGGAATCATGTATTGTGTACAGATTGAAACTTGAAAACAAAGAAAACTAAAAAATTTATCAGTGCTCTCATCCTGTCAACTTCTTCATATTCGTTCTATCTAGCTTGGCATGTGCTTCCTATTATAGGCATATAAAAAAGCCCTACGTTGACTAATTAGAAAGCTAATTAAAGATATATAAGCTTAGATATACGTCTTATCAAATGGTTTTAGATATATTGATATAAAGACAAGGCATAAGCATATTTTTAATATGTAGGAGTCCAATATTTTATATGTACCTTCAGTCAACTCTTCAATTATCATTAACGTAGTTAATGTGGAACTTCTGCATTCGTCTAACAGTACTTTACAAATAGTAGGAAACAAAAGAATATAATTCTTGAAATTATTAAATGTATACATACCTACGAGAAAGTATTGTATGCTCTTTTTTTTTTTTTGGCCAATAAAGTATTATATGTTCAATATCAATGCTTTCGTAGTAGTTATAGAGTTATTGTAGCTAGCGTCACGTGCAGGTTTTCCAGTGCTTACAAGTTGATCTTTTTTTTAGATTGTTTTAGCCATCTGTTTTGCTTTAAAAAAAAAAATACAAAAACATGGAGTTGGGACCCATAGATTTTGGTTCTAAAGAAAAGAGTGAAAAGAGTTATGATCACTTAAACCTGTATAAATGTAAAAAATCATGAATGCAAAAATTATTTTCAATTAGATTTGAAAATGTTTGAATCTCACACCGTCAAGTTTTGTACTTCCTAGTCCTCAATTTCGCATACATCCTGTGCTCAAATCATATTGTGAGCGACATACCGTTTACTTAATTATTCGCATAGGCCACAGAATATCCAGGTGATGTAATCCTTCCAATTCGAAGCAAGACTTGGAGGGGACAACAAAAGTCAGAAAAATAATAATCCAAAAACAAAAGTCTTGAGAATCTGAGGGTCGGCGAGTGGTCAAAATAATAATAATAATAAATGTGAGATTCAATCAAACAAAGGTTAAAAACATGACGAAAATACTACCCATATCCATAAGAACAATTACAAATTTATGAAATTTATTCTGAACATTGTATGATTCAGTAATTACAAATTTATCTAAATATACCATTGATTACTATATATAAATTAATGAAAAATAAAAGTAAAAAAAATTATTGGCTCCAGTCTATTCATCTTCTTTTTTTGAGTGAAATATATTCATCCTCTTTAGGCTCTTACTTTGTAACATTTTTCTTTAATTACTACGAGTACTCTTTTCCTTTCATCTGGACCTTCATTTTGTTTATTCTTTTCTAAGAGAAAGAAAAAGGTTTAAGTTGGAATATTTGGTCAGTCTCTTTAGAAATAAGAGATGACACAGCCACAGAGAGAGAGAGAGAGAGAGAGAGAGAGAGTAAAATACTAAAATCATATTCATAGACCTGTTTTTGCTTTGTGTTAGCTGATGAGTCAAGCATCATTAGCCACCGGACATCAGCAGTTTAACACCACACGACTCCACCCTCTCGCCAACCCTCTTTTAAAATCAAACAGGGCCATGCTCAACGCACTTAATTTTAATATATCATATTGAAATTCTTTACTCTCTCTCTCTCCCTCTCTCTGTGCGCGCACAAAACCTTGGCCCCTTACGAATGTATCGTAATGGCTCATGCTTAAAGCACCTTAATTAATCTATCCTATTTATAATTAACCAAAAAAACGCCGACAATTGCAAAAGATAATTTGACATTCTTACAAGCAGGGAAGAAAACTTTTTTCTTTTTCATTTTATTTTACCGTTCGTCTTCACAAAGGAATGTGGTGGGGAAGCCTGAATCGGATCTGAGACGCCAGCGATCGCACCGCCACTCCATGCCAGCAGATACCACCCTTGCACGTCTGAGCATGGAGGATGTGATGAGGTTGACGACGAGGGGTTTGATCGAGCGCGAATGCATACTTGGCCTTACGTGACACGTCCCACGTCAGCGTGGCCACCAGGATCAGGCCCACCACGGTGGTCGACATTATCACAACAAATCCGGTGCTCAAGCTTCGCCCGCACACAAGCCCATAGACTTTGATGCCGGCGATCACTGCCACGTAGATCGTCATCAAATTTCCCGCCACTGTGTCAGACACCGCCATGGACTAAGGAGGAGGAGACGACGGGGAGATGAGAAGACTGGCTTGTGTGTGGTGTAGCAATAGTAGTGACATGCACCAAGCGGCCGGGGCAAACCTTATAGTGCGAACCGTTTTGAGATTTATTTGCCTTGCAAGGGCTCCCAGAACATGAATTTACGAAAACACCCCCTATCGTTAATGAAAGTAAAGGGGGAAATATATTTCTTCTGCTAAATTTATATTACAATTCTTAGATAAAATTAAAATTTTATTAAATCTTTAAATACAAGTAATATTCTTTGAACTTTTTTAATTTCAACAAAACATATTAAAAGTAATTTCTGAATTAAGGTTAAATAAAGGAGTATTAATTCTCATCCATGAGATCTTTTCTTTTTATATATATATATATATATATTGTTTGGCTTGAGGTTATCTTCACTGTCTTCAGGATTAGAAGGGCCAGGGGTAGGTAGGAATCAAGAATGTCGCCTTTCGTCCGCTGCTTCCAACTGCGCAACTCCACGTGTCTCTCATTTCTCATACGTGGCTCACCACTATTATCTCCCTCCGTTTGTTTTTTTTTCCCCAATTGATAAGAAAGTTGAACAATGAAAAAACACACTTGTATTTCGTGTCGTGGTTCTTGATCTGCGGTCTAAGTACCACGACTCAAGAAGGCAAAATCTGACTACCACCGACTGCCAGAAGTCAGTACTTAGTGCATGCAGTCCTTTATCTAATCAATTTTTTAAAATATTTGTGTTGCTGATGATATTTTGTCTGATGGATTTAATAAGAAAATCTGCCCGAAAATTTGGAGGGGGAAATATAGGAAAAATTTTAATAAAGGATACTTGATCATAGTTAATTACATTTAAAGTCTTTAAATTTTTAAAATTTTACTGCAATCCATGATACTGATTTGATATTAAATTTTAAAAAAATAAAATTATTTTTTATTTAAATTAATATTAAAACTTCCCTATTTCACTTATTAATTGCCTAATTTTACTTATTCACTTACTTACCAAATGATATTAATTACCGTACTTTACTTATTTTCATTTTATGTGTTTAAATCATATTAAAATAACTTATTGATTCTTATACTGTATATTATTTATTTACTTTTAAACTATTATTAATTGCTCTATTTCACTTATTCATTGTTAAACTTTCACTTGATTTCATTTAAAAAAATAAACAAATTAAATATATTATTTAATAACATTTCGTAAGTAAATGAATAAGTAAAATAGAGTAATTAATAATTAAAATAAAAAATTCTTATAATAATTTAAAGGAGGAGTAATTTCATCAGCTCTTTAATAAATTTAACATCAAATAAATACCCTTAGATTATAGTGGCATTTCAAAATTTAGATATTTTAAATGTAATTAAATATAATTAAGGGCTTTTTATTGAAATTCTCTCAGGAATGTGCGTTCAAGAATGGGCGCGCGCGCGCGCGTTTTCTTTTTTTTCGGCATCATTCACTTTACTCACCAGAAACCCCGCACACACATTTAGCCTTGTTTACTTGAACTTTATTTGGTTATATCTCGCAAATTTTTTCTATTTAAAGGTCCCTTGGGTATCATTAGGCCAATAGATCATTGACAAAAAAATACGAGATGTAGCGGAATTTCTCTATTCTATCCTATTGATGATATCAGGAATTATTACGAAGGGTTAGACTGTGAGATTACCCTCGCCATGTGAAGTTCATGTTTGTTGGTTAAACTTTAAAGTTGCTCATGTGTGCCTTGTGAAGAAAAGCATCTTGCTTCTTCCAATTAATAAAAACGATCCATGCATTCCGCTCGAGCGAAATAAGTGGGTGGCCCGATTAAAACATTTTTATCAATTGTGGGATCTTTTAAGGTAACCTCTTTATACTGGAATTGATATAACATAACATTGATTAATGAAAACAAAATGTGCCGTTTGTAGTTACAACAGTGATGTCGTATCGTTATTAGATTAATAATAATAATAATAATGTCCACTATTTTTCATTGCACACAAATGGGTAGACAAGAAATTTTTGAATAGATTAGGTGCGGCATATTATTTGTGATATGTCCAATAAGAATCTTTTAAATAATCTGAACAAAATCTTATATAACATTATTTTAATCTATTTTATTTTTATAACAATATATATATTTAATTTTTTATTTTTTCTCTGTTTATTATCATTAAAGTCAAAATTAATTTATATTTAATCTCATACAAACATTATATTTTTATTAAATAAATTATAAATAACGTGATGCATATAGTTTTCTTAAGAATTTCTCATAGTAATACATATATCAGATGAAGAAAATATGGGCGTACATGTATAACCCCATCAGTCGCCTTCATTAAATTCGGTGATTTCATAGTTGAATGGCCAAAGCCCAAATCAATTTAGTTAGGCTTGTGTGTTAATTTGAACAGCGATGTTTGACCTTTCTATTTAATTTCGTTGAATTAATATTCTGGTCTCTTAATTTTAGTTGAAATTTAGAATTGATTTGTCAGCTTAAAGATGTGTCAAAATTATCCTTTGATTCATCCTCCGTGTCAAAATTGCCCTTGTGTGTTAGGTAACATTAATCGAGTTCATGGAACTAGTCAATTCAATTGAATCAATTTAAGTTCTCATGAGTCACGACCCACAACGACCGCCATGTTCCCAAGTCAAATCAATTTCAACATGCCACTGTCATAGAAAGGGAAAATCACAACTAAATATCACTAAACAACATTTATTATCCTCCGTATCAAGGGACCTAAGTGTAGCTAAAGTTGATTATGAGAAAAACGAAGCTATCCCTCATGAGTATATATATAATTCCTTTAATTCTATTTATAAGTTATTTATAGTATTTTTACAAGAATTAAAAAAAGCCTTAAACCTTATTAGTTTTATCAAAAAATTTAATAAATTGTCAATTTAATTGTTTTTAGATATATGCACTTTAAAATGAAATACTATAATGTTTAATAAAATTTTTAATATTTAATAGGGGTAAAATGATAAAGATGAACATATTAATAGTTGAGATATCTTAATTATAAATAGAACTAAAATAAATACTCTTTTTATGCCCTATAAATATGACCAAGGGAGTATTTGTTGTGATGGAAGAATTAATTATTGTTAAAATAAAAATAAAATTTATTTTTTTAAGTGAGGATTTGTTCACTTTATTACAACACAACTTCTCTATCATTAAGTTAGTATTTTGGAGTTGTCACTGAATAAATTGATTATTATTAAATTGAGAATGAAACTTCCTTTTTAAATGGGGATTTGTTTCTCTTCACCACCGGATTATTTTTTAAGGATTGTTAATGAAAAATTAATTGTTACTAAAATGAAAATATAAAAAAAGTTTTCCTTAGTGGAGGCGTTTTGTTAAAAGAGTATATGTGCGCAAGGGAGGGTAATTTTCTCTCTTCATAATAAATTTTAATTATATTTAAATGCTCTCATTTCGCAGAACAATAGATGTTGGTTCGTAGTACTTATTGATTGTGATTTTCCGTGTAGAAAGAAGCGGTGGCTTCTAGCACGCTTCTCCATGAATGTGCATATTTTGCTTTCTATACTTACTACATCGTTTTTACAAATCGAGGTAGAAATTGGCTTTCTAAATTATCGGTTAAATAATTGGCTTTCTATACTTGCTTCTCAATGGTGTTAAAAGTGCTTCATGTGATAATGCAGAGAACTTGGCCAACTAGTCAAAAGTCATGTCATGTGCCCGGATATTAATTTGAAGTTTCAAATGTAATGAGATATAAAACAATAGTTTTATTTTATTTCTAATAAATACTGAAATAAACAATGATGATATACCACTTTGCGGCGGGGGAACGGCTCTCTGGGAAAAAAAAATAGAGATAAAAAGAGAAGTTGTGCACAATTTTTTCAAGGCGAGGTGCAAGATCTATCATGATGAATATGTATCCCAAAAATAAAGGAGGCTTCACCTATATCCTTCATGTCAAAATGGCAAGACAATAGGTGTTTTATCTCATTGAGGAAATTCATTGAGTTATCGGATAATAAGATATCATCAACATAGAGAATAAGAATGGCAAAATTATTCCTATCAAACTTCTAATAGATACACTGATCTAAGACATTCTCAACAAAATTGAGCGAGGTGATAACTTCATTAAATTTCAAATACCATTGCCTAGAGGCTTGTTTTAGCCCATATATGAATTTCTTCAATCTGCACACTAGATGTTCTTTACCAAATTCAACAAAACCATCAAATTATGTTATGTAGACTTCTTCATACAAATTGTCATTCAAGAACGCAGTCTTAGACATTTATTTGGTGAAGATCAAGATCAAATTGTGCAACTAAAGCTATTATCACTCTAAAAACGTCTTTGGTGGATACCGGAGAGAAGGTTTTTGTGTAATCAATACCTTCTTTTTAGTTGTAACCCTTAGCTACAAGTCTAGCTTTGTATATATTAATTTCACCTTTAGCTCCTCGTTTTGTTTCAAAGATCCACTTGCAACTCATTGGTTTAAAACTCTTTGGTAGCTCTATAAGCTATCATACGTGATTGTGGTATATAGAGGCGATTTTTTTACTCATAGCCTCTAACCATTCAGAAGAATATGAGCTAGAAATAGCCTCTTGGTAAGATATCGGGTCTAAACTATCAATAACCTCTAAATCAAATTCCTGCAAATACACCATGTAATCATTTAGAATAGCAGACTTGCAAACCCTTTGGGACCGTCTTGGTTCAAAAACTAGATCCTCATCACCCTTTAAAAGTGGTTCATCTTTAACTTCATCTTGATCTACGGCATTATTTTTGTCAACATGAGGGGTTGCCACGATAAGCAAAGGCAAAATATTACTTTCGTCATGTCAAGTGATATGCCTAGGCACAAAGCTCCCACTGTCTAAGGCATCTTTAAAGAAATAAGCTCGATCAAATTCAATAACCTTGATAGTGTGATTTTGACAATAGAATCTGTACCCACGAGATCCAATACAATAGCCGATAAAGAAACCATCAACAGTTTTAGCATCAAACTTCATCTGTTGTGGATTGTAAGGTTTTACCTGTGCTTTACAACCCCAAACTC